TTTATTTTGAGAGAGAGAAAGAGAGAGCAGCGGGGAGGGGCAGAGGGAGAATCCCAAGCAGGCTCCGCGCTCCCAGCACAGAGCCCGGTGCGGGGCTTGAACCCACGAACCGTGAGCTCGTGACCTGAGCTGAAACCAAGAGTTGGACGCTCAACCGACTGAGCCGCCCAGGCGCCCTCCCACATTCTTGTATTTAAGATTTTCTTCCATCCAGACACATACCAAACAAGTTAACTTTCTGATTATTTGCAAGGTAACAAACGTGTTTTCATACAGGAGAAGGAAGAAATACGAGTGAGCAACTTAATGATTTCACACCGACAGAATGTAGAACTCCTCCCCGACCGTCCTCTGGGCTGATGGCTGTTGGCAGCGTTGGCCCGGGCTCTGGGTCTCCACCCAGTCGCCTTGGGGGCCCGGCCTCCCCCCTTGGTGCTCCTGGGGGTATGGCTCCTGGCATTTGCTGAGGAAAAGAGTTTTATTACGATTACTTTATTAAGAATGCCCACCGACAGGCTGACCTTAGTGTTTCTGCGCTGGGCGCCTCCTGTGAGAGCTGCCCTCCGAGCCCACGGAGCTGGCAGGACTGCGGGGGGCCTGGTGCAGTGGTGGCTTGGGGACAGGGCCCCCATCTTGCACCAGCCTCCCCACCACCCCCTTTATTTTATCAGAATAGTTGGGAAACCATCAAGTCCTTTGTGAGGCAGGTTTCTCTTTGAGTCCAACGAGTTCACGGCTTCAGGCACGTGGGACTCAAGGGTCCTCACTTCGTGCAGGTCCTGATTAGTGAGGCCTCTCACGCTTTGTCCCGTTTCTTCTGGATGAGACTCTAAAGGGTCTGTGAGTGGGACGATGCCAGGCTTCCTGTCCTGCAGGTGGTTGAAGAGCGGTGGGGGCCCCAGAGGCCAGGGCACAGGCTGCGGGCTGGGCCAAAAGACGGAGGAAAGTGGACAGAAGCTGGCGTCTGTATCACCCAGAGCTCAGGCCATTAGTTGGGGTAAGAGTGTCATCCGGGGAGGACCCCCAGATTCTGCCTCAGGTGATGGGTGCCCTTGGGAACACGGGCATAAGGACACGGTGGAGAGAAAAACGTGCTTTGGCAAATAGCGAGCTGGAGGACATCTGACCCTCTCCAAGACGGAGCGGCCTCCGTGCCGTTGATCCTGGAAGATTCTAGTGGCCACCAGAAGGTCAGATGCAGCAGCACATAGCAGAGAGGGCGACCATGAGGGGGTCGTGAGCATTTCCGACGCGTGCGTTCCTAAGACGGCCTGTGGGAGGCCCGGAGCAGGGGTCCGCCTGGACGCCAGCGTGCACAGGGCCGTCCTGGGTCGGGTTGCCGCAGGCCTGCCTGAGGTGAACACGGCACCACCAGGGAGCTGAGCGTGAGGCTGTGCGTTCCCACGGGACACGGGACACGGTCCCACGTCCCCCAGACGCGAGCCGCCCGCGGCCTCACCCGAAGGACCCGAGTTCTCTGGTGGGGCCGGGTTTCCTGAGAGACGTCTGGGCCGCGGAGACGGTTGAGTGCCCGCGTGGAGATGTGACTGGGGACCCTCGATGTGAGCAGAGGCCCGGGGGCTCGTGTCCTAGAGAGAGTCTAAGGGACGCTGAGGAAAGTTAGCTGAGGCCTCAGGAAGGAGGATTGGGGGGTCGCCAGAAAGGGGAGAGGGGTCTCCAGGGTCGCAGCCAGGGCAGGTGTCCCCGGGCACGTGTGTCCTGAACCCAGCGAGAGTTCTTGCAGGGGAGACGTGGGAGGTACCTGGGGCCGCCTCTCTTGCTTAATTAAGTTTTATTTTTAATCACAAAAACGTACAATTGGCCGTCCTCGTCGTCAGGCGTGCCATTCAGTGGTGGTGGATACGTTCCCGGCGTGACGCAGACACCACACGGTCGCCGTCCCGCAAACCCGAGACTCTGTCGCCACTGAACACAGTTAGCCTTTACCCTCCCCCACCCCCTGACCCCCGGTCCCGGCCCCCCGTCTGCCCTCCGTCCGTGTGGACCTGCCTGCTGTCGGGGCCTCGTGGAAATGCAGTCACCGCGTGAATTCTGTTCCGCCTGCCTTCACCAGGCACGAGTCCCGCGGGGCCATCTGCGTCGTAGCACGTGTCCGCCCCCAAGTGCTGCTCCGCGGTGGGGACACGGGTTGGCTCCCCGTTCACCCCCATCAGGAGCACGTGGCTCCCGTGAAGTACACAGTCGTGAGTGTGCTGCACGGACACGTCCCTCGGACCCTGCTTCCAGCTCTCGGGGGTCTGGGCCCAGGAGTGGAATCGCTGGGTCGGGTGGTGCTTCTGCGTTCAACTGGGGCTGCTGGACGGTTTTGCCCCCGGCAGCCACTCCGTTCCACGTCCCCACCAGCAAGTGCACGAGGGTTCCGGCTTGTCCGTGTTTTCGGCAACACTATTTTCTGGTCGTTTTTTTCTTTAATTGATTTTGTTTTCTGTCCTGTCCATTTAACGGATGTGAGGTGGTATCCTGGGATTTTGACTTACGTTTCTCTAAGACGTTCCTGTCGATCGATGTTGAGCATCTTCTCATGTGCTTGGTGGCCATTTATGTGTCTTTTCTCAGGGGAAGTGTCTATGCAAGTCCTTTGTCCGTTTTTAAAAACGTGTATTAATTTTGAGAAAGCGTAGGCAGGGGAGGAGGAGGGAGAGAGGGAGACAGAGAATCCCAGGCAGGCTCCGTGCCGTCAGTGCAGAGCCTGAAGTGGGGCTTGAACCCCCACACGGTGAGATCATGACGTCAGCTGAAATCAAGAGTCGGTTGCTTAACAGACGGAGCCCCCCAGGCGCCCGTGCGTTTTTTAATCGGTTTCTTGTTGTGGTGTCGAGAGCGCTTGATGCGTTCTGGACGTTAACTGCTTCCTAGATAAATGGCTTGCAGATACCCTCCCATCCTGTAGGTTCCCTTTTCACGCTATTGGCCGTGTCCTTGGGCGCAGTTTCTGGTTCTGAGGGAGTCGGCTGCCCGTCCCATGCCGTCGCTTCCTAGACTTGTGAAGAGGGACGCAGATTCCCATGCACACCGGGGGTCACCAGTTTGGGACTTGGTTCTGGGCACCGCGGGGGCAGGTTTGTGTTGGGGGTGGTGGGGAAGAAGCCATTAGGTGGCTGTGACCTGCTGCGTACAGATGTCCCGTGGATGGCGACCTGTGTAGATATGGAAAGGAGAGAAAACGTTCTGGAAGGGAAGCAGTATCGTCCGAGGAGGGGTCAGCAGGTGCTTTCATTTGCACACGTTGTTTGGATTTTTAGAGAGATGACGTGTGCGGACGGATCAGTAGCTCCCCGTCTTGCCCTCACGTCACATCGCCCCGGATGGGTTCGGTCCGTCTGGACCCGCGTGCCGCACAGATGGTGTTTTTCAAGGCTCCGTAGGGATTCTGAGGGCAGCCGGGGTCGACGGCCGCTCCGTGAGGGCATCCCAGCCCGTGGTGCCCAGGAGTGGCCCCGGGCCCCTTGCCCGAGACACAGGTGCCTCGGCGTCAGCCCAGACCGGCCAGACGCAGACCCCGGGGAGCTCGGTCGGCGTGTCGTGAGGCTGTTCCCGTGACCAGGGTGGGTTTGGACACGCCGGGGTCCCTTTGGAAGTTCCTCCGCTGTTGAACCAGAACAGACCCAGCAGGCCACGCGGCTCGAAGCTTCCCTCCCGCGGCTGGAGCAGGAAGTCGGGTTCCGGAAAAACAGGGTAACTCGTTCTTCTGTGCTTCCAGGGGGAACTTAATGGGCAGAAAGGCCTTGTCCCTTCCAACTTCCTGGAGGAAGTGCCTGACGACGTGGAGGTCTACCTTTCCGACGCGCCCTGTCACTACTCCCGAGACGCACCGCCGCGCTCCAAGGCCAAACGGGTAAGCACACGCCCCCAGCAGTTTTGACTTGTGTCCCGCTCTGCCACGTACGGCCTGCCACAGTCCTTGTGCTGGTATTTTTGTATCTTTTTTTGTCTCCGCCCTTCCCTGGGGGTTGTGCCTCGAGATTCTTACGCAAGCTTATTTAGTTCGCCAAAACAGACCCTCTCGATTCTTCCAAACCCGCCTTTCCTCACCAAGGGAGCCCCCGTCCTACAGCATAGACGCACATTCCGGTTCGGTTGAGAGCGAAGGGGTCGGCTAGTCCTTCCGTCCAGGGGGCACTGGCGGCCGCCTGCCCCGCCAGGGTTTCAGATCTCTTACCACAGACCCGAGGGCTCCTCGAGCATAACTGACTATTAGATTACATTCATGTGTAGTGTCTCATTTTTATTTTTTTCCATCACTGCCAGTTTTTATATATTACATTTTTATATATATATATTTTTATTTCTTTGCTCATCTGCTTGGAAACAGAAGAAGAGTGTTCATTTCACACCCTAATCAGGCACTGTAGCCCTTCACGTAAGTGAGCAGCTGAAGATACCTATAAAGATACCAACTTAAGCTACCTTACACGGACGAGTGCAGTAGACTTAAGGCTTCACTGTGGGGTTTAAAAAAAAAAAAA